CTCAGGATCTTGCGCTTGCCACACAGGCATTTGTGCCACTGAGCTATAACCCTAACCCCAGGGAAACGTAGATTTTCAGTGTTCTGCTGACCAAAAAGGAAGCAAAAAGAACATGAAGTGATGGATGTGTTAACTATAATATCGTTCCACAATATAACCAGGTACAAATTATCACACTGTACACTATCAACATGCATAATTTTTACCAGGCAATTATACCTCAATAAACTTAGCTAGGAGGAAAAACATGCAGCCTAAGTGTCATCCATTTTTAGATAAATACATAGATGCGATGATTTTCATCAAAATCCCAGCATGAACTTGGCTTTGTTTTAGCACTTAATACGTAGTTCTAAAGTTCAATTGGAAGACGAATGCATGAGAATATTTTTGGTAGGAGGGTAGCCTGGCAGGGAATGAATCTACCACATCCGCAAGGGACAGGAGCTGACACACACCTCAGAGCAAGTCCAGAAAACAAAGGCATTCTTGTCAGCACTCACATAGAAACATGACTTCAGTGGATGACTCCGATATTACTTATGCTGTATCTTCTATCTTTTCAGTAGAAGAGGCAAGGAGAAGAGCGGGTCTATAATTTTAGTATGCCAACAGAAAGGGATTGCACATTAAGAGATCCATCATATTAAGAAACTGAGGACATGAGCAAATGTTCTGACTCCATCTACACACGTATTCACTTGCTGTTCAGCTCGAACATAAATTTGAGAAGGCTCTGATCTAGAAGTCAGTCTCCATGGAGATTATGTTACCACAGGTTGAGTGGGGATCCATAAAAAGGGACCCATACTAATAATCATTTCTGCAATTTCTAAGGAGTAAGACTAGATTTCATGTCACAAAGAGACAGTCTCTGATTTATAAAAACAACTATTAATAGTTATCACTGGTAGGAACATTGGGAAATAGTAGCAAGCAAGATCTTTTAAAGCTACATACCACTCATTTTATAATTCAGGATACAAGATACAAAGTAACATACTGTTATCTTCAAGAATTTAATACGAGACAGGGGTATTAAATTCTGAGCACCTAGGTATCAGCTACTAGGTACCTCTAGTACCCTAGTACCTATTTTTTTTTGTATTTTAGGGAAGGGTCTACAAGGTGTTCAGGGTCTCACTTATTTACAGCCTCCCAAGAGCTGGGATTACAGGCACATGCCACCATGCTCAGTCTCAACTGATGTCTCAGCGTGCCCCAGGGGGCAGGGCCAGCACAGCAGGCCTGGGGATCGAACCCCTGGCCCTGTGCCTGCTTGCAGGTGCTTTAATCCGCTGAGCTATTTGGCTGGCACTCTAGTACCTTTAGCGGCTGTGTATACAAACACAAAAGCATACTAAGTCAACTGATAAGCCTCTATAATTCTTTGGTATTTATATATACTATAGACACCAGCTGCATTAACAAATTAAATCAGATAAAAAACTAAAATTATCTCAAAACTTTGCTTCCCAAAAAAGTAACCATTCATAACATTAATAAGGTGAAGCAAAGCCAAACCATCCACCAGCAGCAGCAGTTTACATGAGATCTGTTCTACTTTTTTGGGGGGTGGGGGTAGGGATGCTGAGATTGAACCCAGGACTTTGGGCAGTCTCAGTGTGCACTCTACCACTGAACTATGCCCTTACCCCCTAAGGTGGTTTTTTTTGTTTTGTTTTTTTGTTTTTCCAATGTATTTGGCACAGGTTCTAAGCAGCTCAGACTCAGAGTGATCCTCCTGTTTTAGGCTTCCCCAGCACTGGGATTACAGGTGTGCATCACCATGCCCGCTCTTGGTGGCCAGCACGGTGTGCCCGGGGTGGGGTTGGCAGTGGCATGTAGTACCTGCAACTGAACCCAGTCCCTGTGCTTGTCTAAGCATGTGCTTAGTTCACTGAGCTGTATCACCACCCCACTAAGTTCATTTTTTCTTTATAAAATTATGCTGTAACACAGGTTTAAGTTCATTTTCTTAAAGATCTCTCTACAAAATCTGATGCTCTGTAAAGGACAGCTGGAGATGACTGCAGAAATCCAGTCATTTGAAGAATTCCAAGTAAACTACATATCAAGCTATTTTTCTGATTTTTACTTGTAAATTAAAGCATCGTATTTCCTGTGAAGGGGTTTTCTGGCTAAGAGTTTTCTCCAGTTTATTTTCCACATGAATGAGGGTAGTCACAATAATAACAACATAAATAGGCCTAAGAACTGGATTTAAAAGAGTAATAAACTATAGTCACTAGGCTACAAGTATAATGCAAGTTAGTATTGACAATGGAGCATGATTACATCCCTAACTGCTGGAACAGTTTGTTTCTTGGGTCTGTTCTTTTTTGGTGGGTACTGGGAATACAACTCAGGACCTTGCACTTGCCAGGGAATCACAGTGCCTCAGCGATATATCCAGCCCTTGGGTCTGTTCTTTACTCTGTGGCCTTAGATAAGTATTCAACCTACAGGAACCTCCTGAGTTTCAGCATCTAAAGCTGGGCCATCCTATATTATAGCCAATAGCCACATTTGCCTATTTGAATTTACATTAAGTTAAATGTTCAGTTCCTCAGTGGCACTTGCCACATTTCGAGGGCTCAAAGGCCACATGTGGCTTGTTGCCACCATAGCAGACAGGACAACAGATGGTGGTAAAGATCAGCAGGAAGCTGTGATTGACAATAACAAGTAGAAGTGAGGGGTTGTACTGAGGACCTCAGACTGGGTGATCAGGAAAGGCTGCCCCGAGAAGCTGACAGGCAAGCTGAGATGTGAACGACAGGACACAACCAGCACACAAGGTCTGCCAAGAGCATCCAAGGCACAGTCAGCCAACAGTGAGGCAAAGGCCTCGGGCACAGCTGAGCTCCGCTGGTTTAAAAAAAAAGAGTGAAGCAGGAAAAATAAGAGGACAGGAATATGAGCTCCAAGAAGTGGCAGGTGGCAGAGCCTCCAGGGCCTTATAAGCTATGGAGGAATTTTAGATTTGATGCCATGCAAAGCCTCGCAGGTCGCGAGGAGGGAAGTGCTATGATCTGATTGTCTTACAAGCATACCCGACTACCTATAGGCAGCAAGAGCAGAAGCTGGAAGGTCTGCTAGAAGACTGGTGCTGAGGTCCAGGCCAGGAGAGCGGCAGTGTGGACCTGGGCAGTGGCAGTGGGCAGAGGTGTGCTGCTTTTCTCTCTCCACCTGTCTACAACCCTGTTCCTCTCCACCTTCAGAGCCAAGCTCCCTGGGTCAGTTTCCATCTTTTAACTCAACACCCTCACTGAAAAGATGCATTATGTCCCCACTACTCCACTCCTATCATCCTAGGGTCCCAGTCACCTTCATCTTCTTAAAACCAACACATACTGTTTTAGTCTTATCTGTCTGATTTCCACTGTGTGTGCAAGACTGTAGACTACACCTCACCTGCATTCCACACTCTCTGTTCTCAGCTGCTGGGGCATCACTGTCACCTGGTTTCTTCAGGTACTCCTCAGTCTTCCCCAAACTTTTAATCAACTCTTAAACATTACGGCCTTAAAGCTAAGATTGTTTGACAACACACACGATCCCTGAGATTGAAGACACGCCTCCTAACTCTCAAATGAACATTCCTGGTTCAGGACCCACTTCCAAGTTTTACACCGAGTGTCTATTCAACTGGGCCTCCTCACTAGAACATACCACAAACATTTAAAATGCAATAGGTTAAAATGCCGTCATTCCACACTGAGGCTTGAGAGAGACACATCCTGAACTCCTTGCCACTCGGCTGCCACCTGTCCCCAAACCCTGCTGGGTCCTGCAGATCCCACCTCCTTAAGGTCTCCTGTAGCCCCTCCTCTCAGATCCCATTCAGGCTCTCTTCGCGCTCAATGACTGCTTGCTTGGATGACTGGACAGCCTTCTGAACGAGGTTCCTGCTTCCTGTCTCATCATCATGGTCAGAACACATGAGAGGTATCTGACAAATTCTGATTACCTTATGTACAGATCTGACCATCTCATGTCTCTGCATTAAATCTTTCAGAGGAATCTGACAACTTTCACACAGAGCCTAGATGATCTAGCACCTCACCAGTGCTGCAGCCCCCTCTCCCTCCCATCTTCTTCTCCAGCTGTTTAGCTTTCCTTAGCTCTTTAAATATCACACCACATCAGGTTTCCTTTCTGTGCACAAGCTGTCATTTTCCCTATTCCTCCACTTGCTACTTCAAAGGCAGCTGTCACAGCTGTCAGCATCTGGTAGCTTCTGTTTGTCTCTCCCAGTGAACCATAAGCTCCCGCAGGGCAGAGACTACCAGCTCTAGTTGGTTTACTGCACCTATGACTGACGCAGAGGAGCTACTGTTTACTTAGTATCTTCTGACATTTGAATAAGGAGCTTGTTTTGTGGGCTACTTCACCATTCCAGTACAGCGCAAAGCGACACACTATACCACCAGGCAATATGTATATATCGAAGCCAAACGCGCCCCATTCAAGAGGAGAAGGGTGGGAAGCTGCGGAGCCACGTAGCAGCTAGTGACAAAGCCACGAAAGTCGTACTTGAGCACAAGGGCGTACTCACACGGCTCGAGCACGCTAACAGGAGGGCTCCTCACCTCAGCAAAGCCAAATTAACTTTTCTCGGCCCTGCCTGTCATGTGCGCCCCACTGTCCATTCCTGCTCTCTCCGCAACAGGAGGCGTACTCACCACCCAGGCCCTCTCTCGCTAGCCGGCCAGGTGTGCCTCACATCTGTGAGGGGAGGGCTGGACGGGGTGCGGGAGGAGGCACTTCTGGAAAGGGAGGTGACAGCGCGGGGCTCCAGGGAGACACCGAGACC